TAATATAACGAGAGAATATGGGAGGATACAATTTTTCTTCTCTCCTTTTTTGTTTGCTTTTCAATTTTGTGCTGACAATTTTTGTGCTCACTTAAAATTATATTCATTATTACTTGCTGCTCCAATCATGTGAGATATCTCACTCTCCACAATCATCTATAATACACAACCACCCTATTTGGTGGTCGATTTAAGCCGAGAAAATTTCCTATCACTCGTTTTGCTTGTACCTCAGTATTGCTGCCAGTGGCTTTCGCCTCTCCACCACCCAAGCATCCACCGGTAGGCTCAGATGGGGGGTTATACATATTTTCTCATCACTCCCATCATATCTATGTAATTATATCTAGGGAAGTGATTAAGTCGGAAGCCTAGACACGACACCAAACACTAACATGTTCTACTGGTGCAATAAACACTTAAACATGAGTTGTCTAACTGGTTATCTATAATGCAGATAACAACTTTTTTAATTATTAATGCATTTTATTGTGGGTATAACTTTTTTGAGGAAGTTCTTTTCTAATATGCTTATAAACATAAAAATAAAGGGTCCCTTTCCAGCTGAACATTTTATTATGTGTCTGTGTTTTTGACCTATAAAGTTGTATTGAAAGTATGTTAACAAGAGCCAAGTTCCAGTGCCCTATTTTTCAAGTTCCTATATCACTAAGAGTGCCAGAAATAAATGTTACCACTGGGTATACTTTCTCCAAAAGGCTCTTCCACCTCTTGTAACCAGCAGATATGAACTATACCACTGCCTAATCAGACCAGAGAAATAAGCCTCTACAGGTGCTGGGTCTTGAACTGGGGATTGGCGCTTGAGTTATGTTTAAAACAAACTATATAAGGTGTCTTCCGACTGTACTGGAAAATGTGTTTAAAGCTCTTCCAGATATTGAAATCCGCCAAATACAGAAGAGTGATGATCATTCAGATGGAATCATGTGGTGCATTTTTAGGCTCAAAGGAAGTCATGGTGTCTGTGGCATTTGGAAACAGGAATAACAACAAATAATCTCTCTGACATATGAAGGTGTAGAGGAAGGTGTTCCAGATGTTGTCTGATAATCTAACAATCATTTTCATCTGATCGAGGCAGCTGATTTGGTCCCATAATGGGCTTTAGAGGGTTAAACAATGCCATGTGACACATATTTGTGCATTAAGTTCTGAGTGAAACTGTTTCTTTGTTTCCCATCATCAATATGCAAGATGAAAGGATTGCTGCTGTGATTACTTTCCATATATTGTAAAATCCCAGCTGACCAGTGTTGTGATGAAGCTTCTTACTCATGGAGGTGTTTTTAAAACTGCACTTCCTGGATCAAATTTCACTTTGTCCCTCATACCTGTAGTAACACACCCACACCAATGTAGGTTCTTTTGTGCTATTTTTGGTCCAAAGTGGTTTTTTTGCACAGCAAGGGGAAGTTTCGTCTCTTTGTAGTCATGTCTATGGTGTGTTTGTTTTGCAATCGGTGTCCTCTGGGTCCGGGTTTGACCTTCATCTGAGACGGGTATACTCCTCTTTGAGCCTTCCTTATGCTAAACTCTTTCTGGGTTGAATAGGATTGGGTGCCTCCAGCCAGATTTACAGTAAGCAGCTCTGGACAGGAGATTGTCTGCGCTCATGATCGGGAAGCAACGCTGCATATAAGCCGAATTTTGTGCCTTAAACCGTGAGGGGACCTGACAGGAGGATTTGACTGGTGTTGCTTGAAAAGGAATGTCTCTCTCACTGTGGCTCTTTGTCTCTCCCAGGCCTGTGTTTCAGGTTTGCGCGTCACATTTCTTCAACATCACCCTTGTCTAAGACTAAGACGGAGCCATTGTTGGGAGATTTACTCTTTCTCTTCAACTTAAAGTTTAGGCAAAGGTGTCTGATCCCCGTCCACGTGAGCCTCGGTCTGTAGAAATCCTCATCACTTACCTACACCCCCCCTCTTGGTCTTATCTACTCTCCCATTTTAATTCTATTCCTGACCAAGCCCACTGTCTCTCATCTCCGTCAGAAAATACTTTTCTGAGCTGATTTTACTTTTGACTTTCTTACAGTGCACAGCGAACGAACAAGGCCTCTGAGGTATTCATGGGATGTCAGCTTTGCTTAAGTAGGTGTAACAGAGCTTTTTGACACTAGTATGGAAATTGACAGTGTTTATTAACATGACAGATGAGTATGCCTGAGGTCGAGGCAGGGAAAAGATTGTTTTACATTAAAG